AGACCCAGGTTCGATTCCTGGTCGGGGCATTCATTTTTTTCTCTCTTATTTTCCATAGAGACCCCTGGCCTGTAAAATCTATTTGAACGAACCCCACCCCGATGAAGATGTCATGCTCCTCTTCCTCACCCAACACTTTCCCTATCCATGGTACATGAGAAGAGACCTATCCGACGTACGGCCCTTCGGACGCGTTTTCGAATCCTCCTCAGGCCTCCACGGAGAATTTCTAACCCCCCAGACCATGATGCTATCCCTCGTGCACCTGGGAACCAATGACGTGCAAGCCCTCAAGATGATGCAAAAAATCACACAAGAAACCATCTACATTCTCTCGTTAAAGGATCTTTATTAGTTTTTACAGGCATTAAAAAATGTTTTTCACTCCTCTGGTGGTGGTGTCTTCATCGTTTTGATAAATGCTCGGTAAGCCAACTCTTCTCTGTCATCAACACCGCTCTTCCACTCTTTCCATCCAGCCTCAAAACTCGCCGGCAACCTCTCCAAACACACGGGTTCCCCATCCTCCAGAGACTCGTCATTACGCATCCTAGTAGACATGGCTTTTCTGAACTTAATCACGTCATCGGCCAGAATCGTCATTTCTTTCTTCAGGAGGTTATCCGTACTTTCACTAACGGCGCTTTTCATAATCTTTCCAAGAAGATTATCCTTCACAGCCTTCAACACTCTCGACGCAAATTCATCTCTAGGAATCACGTCCGGCAAGTCTCCCGATGGAATCTCAAACACCTCCACTGTCGTCTTGCTCTCCTCCGAGGCCATCTTCTTGTCGATCTCCAAACAACAATACCAACTCGACACTCACACAGCCTTTTTATTCACACCCGAACCATCTCTCATTGGTTCCCGCCTTATTTGGTCAGGCACGTGACAACCTCGATTTCATGCATTGGCCATCGCCTTATTTGGGCATGCGCGCGATCTATGACGTCATTTCCGGTGCGCGCCATGTTTTGCTACCAAAGGGGCCATCTTGGATTTTAAAATTTAAGAGAATGTATGGGAAAACCCTGGTCACGTGGTATAATCCCTTCACACTGATTGGTTACGGCCCCTATCAGCGTTATTGACTACTGAAGGTACTAATATTAACACATTGTTACAAGCTTGGAAAATAATTTTTCACGGCATTTGCTTTTTTCAGGGTTAGGGTTTGAAAAACGCCACATCATGAGGCGGCGTTTATTAATGTTTCTGCTCTAAAATGCGGCGTTTATTCGAGGGCGGCGTAAGTAATTGGAGGGCGGTGTTTAATCTAGTAAATACTTTAAGCCCTTTTTTTTCTTCTCATTCATCTACGACAAAGGCGAAGGAGAAGAGAAAAATAACTCATGAGATATGGGTTAAGAGACATCTCTGAAAATCGCTTTCTAGTGGGTGAATCCATACTATGGTTAAAGAAATTCGTTAAAATGACCACGATTCATTTTACAACTACTTCCGGATGACACCTGAGCATGTCCTTTTTCTTGTGGGCCCGATGTTGTCGACTGAAATCCTTCTACCAACCGACAGCTTCCACTACCTCACGCCACGTGTTTTCTTTCACAAATGCAGGAAATTTTAAAACTTCCCAGATAACCAGGGGTTCTACTTCTGAATGTTTTCCCATTTTCACGGCGTTTTTAAACAAAAGGGCTACCAAATGCACGAAATGTGTCTTGTGAAAAAATTTCTAAGAATGCCCTTGGTTGAATTGGTGCGTAAATACAGACGAACGCAAAAAAGTTGAACTGAATTCGACTTTTTGAATTTTGAGATTCGGAATTTTTATGTGCTTCTACATGCACTAAACGTGCGTAAATTTCTTGAAAAAAGAAAACGCGCCCCTGGAATGGGGAAACTTTAAGTCGATTAAGGTAATAAGGCGTGTGTAAAATTGCATTTTTACGTGCTTTAAAACTATTTCACGTACTTCAACGTGAGTAGAGATTTACGAGACTTTGGAATCCACCTTCAGGCAATGGTAGCTTAAATTAATGTGTCACATACTTTGTTATATGTTCCCTCCGGTGTATAACTTTGACAGTAAAGCAAAACGACTGTGTGAAAGATAAAAAATATTTGTTTAAAGCCTGTTGTTGAATATAAAGTGGCTAGTACTACGATTAAAGTTGCAACAGTAGTAGATCCCCTCCCGGGATTTGGTGATTTTACTAGGCTTTAAATCAGGAGATGTGACTTTAAAGACACTGAGATTGGGGAATTCCGGATAATAAAATGTACAAAGAAAATCAAGCTGCCAACCTTAGTAAATTCAGAAATAGCCGAACAATGACCCAGTTGACTTACACAGCTTTACATCCACGTTGTCCACTGTGCAATACTCTGAAGCGTACTCTTTAGCCGTGTCAGATCGTTGAAACCAAAATCGCTCAAATTGCCTATAGTCGTTACACAAGCCCTGGGAACATATAACAAGGAGGGAGGTTTTTAAAATTTATCGTAGCTTTGGAAGGAAAACAGAAAATTAATAGTTTTCGTTCGAACTTCCTATCTATACAGACTTTTATTTCATACATCTCAGCTCTTATTAACCTAGTAGGCGGTCTCTATAGGGATATCTCTTCCCAGATCGTGAGTTCAGCCCTCCATGTAACATCACGCCTTGAAACACTGTCCGGCACTTTTACCCAAGCCTTGCGTGTGTGGGAAGGTAGCGCATGCTGCGGAAATGTTAAAAATTCGTAAACATGAAAAGTTTTGGGCTGGTTTGGTACTAGGTTGTAGCTCTGTAAATAAAAGATAGTGGATTACCCTCGAACAGGCATATTGGGCGAGCAGTGTCGAGTACGGATATGTAAACTTTTATAAAAATAACCGATCAATTCATCGGCACGTTTTACTTCGTTTTCTCCGTCCGTATTGTAAGTTACGGATCCTCGTTTTTTGTCCCACTCGATTTATGGCCCACGCGCTCCTCGCTTGGGCCGTGAATGGAAGGGGAAACAAAACCGATCCGCAACTTACGGTAGGGACCCCGACCTTCGTTAGTAAGAGGTATTTATTTGGAAATAATAGGCGCTAATTGGTACCATTATAGTAAAATAATGAGATTATTCACAACATTGCATTTTGCAGGGGGGTGTGCTTTTTTACATTTTTGGCCAAAAGAAGGGCGCTTGCTAAGGGAGCCGCTTTTCGAGGGGGGGGTAGGGTTGGTAGGTGCTAATTTGGTATGTGAGATTTGATAACTGTTAGAGAAAAAAAAAAGAAACTAAAACGAGAACTACAAAAAATTGATTTTAACTTTATTTCATATTTCAATTTTTTCAATTGCATCGTTTTCTCTTCACCCTGATGTTCTGAAAAAGAAATAATAATAGATAACGATGGATCAGTGTTCAGTGTATATATTTTTTATTATAACATAATATTATGGTATAAAATACAAAATCAATATCAAAAAGTATCGCAAACAGTTACGAATTATGCTTCAAATGTACGCACTGTCACTTATCGGATTAGCTCCCCGAGCACTGCCAGGCGGGAAGGGGGTAGAGAAGGTCACTTTCCAAACCCCGCCCCCCCCCCCCGAACTCCCCCGGAAAGAAAATTCTTACTCGGCAAATTTGTAAGAAGAAAGCTATCTTCAACATCTGCAGATTTCACAGAGAATGAAGTAAATAGGCTAGTTTGGCATGTTAACCCATAGGACTAAATGTCTGGTGTGTTTGTGGCGAGAGAGTCACGTACGCGAAAGGCGAAGTCTTTAACCCATATAGTGTTTACACGATTTGCACGTTGTTATGCGATTTGCGCGAAACCGGCCGGTATCAAAGTTATTTTCCCTTTTTGACCAATTAGGCAAAGCAACGATTCCTCTATTGAATAGCCAACAGTGAATACTAGTTACATACAGTTTCTCAAAAAGTTACTGTTGGATTAGAGGTATATAAACATGATATTCACTACAGACAATTTCTGCTTGCTAAGCAAATAATATGAAATGCAGTTTCAAAAACTTTTTACTTCAACATAAATCTCGGCTGATTTCAAGGCCACATGATACACGTTAACCAATAGTTTGTCCATTTACAAGTTCCCTTTTCTAAAAGCAGGGTAATAATTTTGTTAAAGGTTAGTGATTTGCGATTATCTTTAGCTTACAGTCGATACGTTAAAGCCACCAAAAATAAACCATCACCAATTCTCTACAGACCTTTGACCTCACTTTTCTAACACTTAGTTCAATGATCGAATCTTATGGGAAATGAAAAAGCAATTAGAGCGTGTTTCCAAAGAAATAACCAACGTACTTACCTCGTGCTGGAAAGCTCAAATGCGCGGTTCTCGAAGCATTACGGTCGAGATAAATGATGCTGACTTCATATTATGTTTTGCAACAAGAACAAATTTTATCTTCCTCAATTCCCCACAAAACTTTTATCACTTGTTACGAATGTGTAAGAAATATTTCTCTTTGGGGGTATGCAAAATAGGGGTTGGACTAAACTTGAGGGTTGTATGAAGAGTCAGTCTTCTACATTACTTGTGCTTTGCTTTTAGCATACATCTTCCTATAGTTTTGACCAGTGCCTTATTTTTTCGCTATTACTCCTACTAGATGCGCCTCGTGAGTCCACAACATTTTGACCACTGTGAAGACGCGTACTCGTTGTCGATAAGGGTACAGACCACGCTAAACCACATTCGATTTGTCAATGTTGTGATAAGCAACGAGTTAAGTAAATTTAAAGTTTAACAAACATCTTCCAAGCATAGTCAGCAAAAGCTAGTGAAGTAAATTAATGTACATGATATCTTTACCTTCTGAGGTGAAAGATTGTCACTGATGTACTTCAGTGTTAGGTCTCTTCCCATTTCTGTTTTATCATACAAGATACCAACGTAAGAAAGTAAACAAAAGATGAAAGGCATTTATCATTGTCTATTCCCTACTGGGAAAAAGCTATATATATTATAGCAGAGCTCCGGTGCCCCATACTCATATAGGAAAGAAGAGGAAACCCATGAATCGGTTTTCTCATGGTCATCATGGCTAGCGGTATTGCTCGTGGGCCCATATTCAAGACGACAATGGTGGTAGTGGTGGAGTCCTGCAAGATGGCGGCCATACTCCAGCTAATAGGTTGACAGAAACATGCAGCTTGGTTTATAGGGTCCTTCTTTGATATTGGACATCCCTGTTATAGTTAATTGACCTCTGTCAAAACAAAGTATCCGCTGACCAGTATCACGTGACCACATCCCGCGCTCAAGTTTAGAGCTCATCGAAGTCATCTGTGTTTTTTTTAAGTTAATCCCTGACGAAGTGCTGGATTTTTTATTAGATTGGAGGCTGATGCGAGGTTAACCTGTTGTAAACAGGGGCCAGATTGTTCGGAAGCCGGTTAACCCTAACCAAGGATTAAAAGTTCACCAAAGTATAATTTTTTCTTGTAAACAAATGTTACATATTGCTTTTGTTTAGTATATTTTGGGATTATTCAAACTCAAAACAGAAGGCTAAACAATATACAGAAAACCTCACCGCAAAGTTACAAAACTCAATTCAAAATTCTCGCTCATCCTGGGCTAGCTTAATCGGTCTTTTAACAACCCAGCCCAGGAGCTAAATCTATATGTTATATAGTGAGCTATATTAAGATGATTCCTCTTTGTTGCATTGTGCATCCTTACTGTACAGAATGTTATGCATACTTAGCGTGCGCACATAAACAAAGTGGTGCCTTTTTAAATGGCTTGGCTTGCGAGGGACAAATCATTGTTTCTCTCGAAATGAGCAGTGGGAACTCACAATTTTTTCACTCAGTTTGAATGCAGCAATCGCCTTCTTTCTATATAGTGATCATAAATCAATTTCTATTGCAGATTAGCATAAATCTACTAGCGTTCTATTACGAATGCCGTTCTCTGATTGTCTACGCTACTATCAATTCTGTTGTAGTTAGTGAGTAGCGTAGCTGTGTGCCCTTGTTAACAAAATGACGGCCGCTTCGTTGCATTTTCGAAGTGTCTGTGAGGAGGATTTTGATGAAGTTTTGAATCACCAGTAGATTTATACTAAAACAACTAGATTATTCGCTCTCAATGTAGAAACCAATCCCCCGCCTAGCCCCAGTCCGCACGGCTATGCATAAATAGTTGTTCGACCTTCACGCGGGTTATGCAAATCGCAAAGTATTTCGCTCGAGTTCACAAGTTATAACAACGTTACGTTTTTTCTGCTGTTTTGATCGCCGTATTCCCAAATCGTCAGGTAATGTCCTCTTTCTTCGTTTGTCTTGTATTTCCTATGTTATTTCCATTGTTGTGATTAGTTGTTTAAACTTCTTTACGACCTAAATTATTGCTGGTGCGTTGGTTACAGTTTCTGACGTTAGCGGAATTATGTCGATGGAAAATTCGTCGAAGGGACGAGGGAACGCCGTTAGGCATGAAGGAATGCTGTCCCTGAAGAGAAGTCGGGCTGGTCACCTTGGCTACTTGAACAGGTTGTACAAAGACGTCGAGTTATTAATGCTAAACGCTGAAAATTATCATGAGGCTTGTAAGAAGAAGAAAGATGTTAAAATCGCGTTTGCGAGATGTCTTCAAGCCTGCGGCGAATCAATTCGCCGACGACTCCGAAGTTAAGTCAGACGCGCTCAATGCTTGTCACAGCATAATGACAGGTAAAAAGGAATTCGAGGCAGAGTTGAAACCGGTTAACACAGAGGGGGGGGCGAGGTTAGGCAGGTGAAGTTTTATTCGTGTCTGGCGTGTGCGCAAAAGCGCCAAAAGTGCAAATTTGCCCGAAGACTTTTGCCCATGACTGCAGGTGCTCAACCTCGGGACCCAGGACCTCCGCAGAACACCATCGTTGCTGGAAACCTGACTGGTTCCCAACAGTTGCTAGAAATATTAGCACAGCAACAAGAAGCTTTGCAGCTTATGACATACACAATTCGACAAGGATTTGAAATGCCCCCCAAAAAAGAGAGCTTTTGACCTTCGATGGTAACACGCTTAACTACTGGTTGTTTATAGGCGACTTCGAGGTCAACATCGCTAAGAGGGGACCGGACGCCGAGACGAGGCTAGCTTACCTTTTTCAACATTGTACTGGGAAGGTTAGAGGAGCCATTAAAGAACTGTGCCATAATTTCCGGACCAGAGCAAGGCTACAAAAAAGCCCAAAAGATCTTGTACCACAGATTTGGACAGAAACACATCATTGCGCATGCGCTCATCCCGAAGATAGTGGAAGGTCCTCAGATCAAGAATACTGACGTCACTTGTTTATCAGACCTGTCCGTTCAAATGCAGAATTGTGGGCTGACTCTCGTTCAAATGGGCTACGAGGCAGAGGTTAACGGCTCGGACAATCTCGTAAAGGTGGTGAAGCGCCTCCCTGATCATCTGCAGTCTAATTGGGCGGACAAAGCCGGCTCATTAACCCTAGCTGAAACGGAACCTACCTTCATGGATTTAGCTGGTTCTGTTGAAGAGAAAGCTTTGTTTGCAAACACTACATACGGTCGAATAGTTGAAACGACAGCAGACAAAGAACGGAGCTCTAAGCCACCACCCAAAGTAAAGCCACCTCCCTCAAAGGGAAATACCTTTGTGACACAGTCTGAAGGGGTTGCAGACAGTCCTCAAGTGAACATAACTCTTATCCTAATTTACCCTTTGTGTTCTGGTCAACATAGACTGTGGAAATGTGCGCTCATGAAAGCAAAGAGCCTAGAAGAAAGAAAAAGCTTTGTTTGACAAGTAACACTATGCGACAACTGTCTTGGAAGCTGTCACATGGCCATGGATTACAGAAGTAAAATGAAGTGTCAAGTGAATGGATGTGGATGGAAACACCAAACCATATTGTACGTCTACGGAATCCTGTTCCGAAATTACGTTATGTGATGTGAGTCTAATGGAGAAACTCCAAGTAGATGGCTGTCCTAAGGAATTCTCACTAGCAACCGTATATGGCACATCCAACACTCGAGAAGGATTCAAGCTGTCTTTGTCTGTTCGAGGATTACAAATGGAAGAAGAAATCGTGTTAGATAGAGTCTGGACGGTGGATACGTTGTGTTTACCACAAGGTAGTCCACCAACCAAGGAAGATAGCTGCTAAGTGGCCTGATCTGAAAGGAATAGACTTTCCGAGAACGCAATCTGATAAAGTGTCGGTACTCATTGGCAGCAACGTTCCTGAAACTCATTGGGTGTGCAATCAGAGGCGTGGCAGGCGTGGTTAACCTTATGCTGTGTGTACCACACTCGGTTGGACTCTGATGGGACCATTCAACTCGTGTGATAGATATTGCTTTGGTGCGAACTTTGTTCGCTCTGATGTGAACTTTGTTCGCTCTGACGACGAAACGCTTCTTCAGCAAATGGAGAGCATGTTTAGGAGTAACTTAAACGAGGCTATGATCTCCTCAAAGGTTGCAATGTCAGTTGAAGATCAAAGAGCACTGTCGCAAATGGAAATTCCGTGAAGCTCGAGAATGACCATCATCAACTGGGGTTGCCATGGAAGCACAAGTCAGTAAACCTCCCAAACAATTGTGAATTTGCATTCCGAAGATTGCGCTACTTGAAGAAAAGATTCCAGCACAACCTTCACCTCTTCGAGAAGTACAGAGAAACTGTTAACGGTTATGTCTCAAGCGGTTATGCAAGACGAGTTCCTTGTAACGAACAGGAGACTGTGAAGGATACATCGGTCTGGTACGTACCCCACCATCTAGCTTTTCATCCTCAGAAACCAGGGAAAGTGAGAGTCGTGTTTGGCTGCGCGGCCAAGATTAAAGGCAACTCCCTGAATGATTAGCTCCTTCAAAGTCCAGACCTAACGAATGGACTTTTGGGCTCTATCATACATTTTAGCCAAGAACTCATAGCCAAACTTGCAGATGTGGAAGGCATGTTCCACCAAGTGCGGGTAGCTCCGGATGATTGTCATGCGGTAAGATTCCTGTGGTGGCCAAATAGTGATCTCTCCAAAGAACAAGTTGATTACCAGATGTTAGTGCACTTGTTTGGAACCACGTCGTCTCCAAGTTGTTCAAGTTTTTTTCTCAAGAAGACGGCCTCGGATAATCTGGACGAATTTGAGGGTTTCGGTTCACCAAATGGATTAGTAAATCACAGGAACGTAATCGCCACTGTTCCAGTAACGGAAAGAGCGCCTTATGTGGTCAACTTGGATTTGGAGGATCTCCCTGTAGAGCGCACTTTGGGAGTGCAGTGGGCCATGGAAACAGATGACTAACTTTCGCATCATGGATGAAGGAAAGGCTCCCACACGTAGAGGAATCTTGTCTGTTGTAAGCACCATGTACGACCCTCTCGGGCTCATCGCGCCTATCAATCTGCCAGCCAAGAGTCTGTTGCAGAGCCTATGTAAGCAGAAGTACGGCTGGGTCGAAGAGATTTCTGATACAGATTCCATTGTATGACAAGGATAGCTGAAGGAACTTGCACGTTTGAGAACAATATCAGTTCCCAGGTGTTTCAAGCCACCAGGATTGGGTGCAGTCGTCAACGTTCAGTTACATCATTTCTCAGATGTTTCTGAATATGATTACGGTGCAGTATCCTACCTCTGAATTGTCAACGCATTGTTCTTTTGTTCTTGGCAAATCTCGCGTCACCCCCCTGAAAGTGGTGTCCATACCACGTCTTGAGTTAGAAGCTGCAGTGGTCGCTGTGAAGTTGAATTGACTGATACGGAACGAGTTAGAGTATCCCATACACGACACAATCTACTGGACGCATTCCACGGTAGTCTTGCAGCACATTCGCAATGAATCAAGAAGATTTCACACGTTTGTTGCCAACAGAGTCGCAATGACACACGATGAATCCA